GAAAAAAAAAGAGGAGCATAAAAAAAGGGGAGAACAAAAACTACCCCAAAACTTCTAAAAAAAAAAATTCTCTTCTTTAGAGGTCAACTCGTGGATGCCTCCCACACCTTGTTTGCATTGTTGTTTCTTATGAAATTCCCAAGTTAGAGTGTAGTTAAGGGGCCTTGGGTGTGCATTTTGGGAGGTGGACTAGCATTTTGAGATTTTATAACCGAAAAAGGGCTTGTTGAAACTTTGGAATATCTAGGTGTGCTCTAATGAACTAGTAAAAGGTCTAAAGAAGTATCCTAGTGCAATCTTGCTTAGTCCTCCTCTTTACCCCCAACTCATGTGCACATTTGTATGATTGGTAATTCTTGAAAGTCGCTCATTTGTCTTGCTTGCGATTTATATCTCGATGAGTTGACTTGGGTGATAATAACATCGGAACTTGTGTAGTTTGATAGTTTTGTTTTGGTTTGTGTGAGTTGTGGGTTAAGCTCAATGGAAACCCTCACGAGATAAAAACTCGTCCTCTAAGGCGACTTAGAGGTTTAAATTGCTTCTCACTTGTGCTAAAAGTGATGATGGCTGTCACCATGCGGATTTGTGTATATATGCTTCCTCCTTGTTGCCTTTCCTTGGATTGATGTTAGCAAGTCGTTTTCCTCCTTTGATTCGACATGTTTGTTTTGCTCGAGGACGAGCAAAAGCTTAGCTTGGGGGGATTTGATAACTTGTTATTTGGCATGATTTTAGGGTACTTTTGAACCTTGTTTTCGTTATTAATCGACATCAAAGTTCATTTTTTATCCTATTTTTATGCAAATTTTGTACCATCCATGCTTCACCGGTTGTTTGTGTTTTTGATGTAATGTAGCTATTTTTATCACTATGGACATGATCAAGCATGAGTGAGCAAGGATAAGGGCAAGCTTGGTTGATAGAGCCATGGAGGAAGAAAGAGGAATGCCTTAAAGGGAAATGAAAAGCTTTTGGAGAACCTTGAAAGGTCGTTTGCGTAAGCGTCAAATTCAACCAACCATAACTTTTGATCTTATCAACCTTTTGAAGCGATTCAAATTGGAGATTAAAGTTCGTCTCAAGAGCTTTCCAACGACTAGTCACAAGTCCATTTTTGACAAGAAACGTAGAAGTTACAGCTTCCCAAAGTTAAGCAGTCTAGGCAGGGCATCCTGCACGGACGTGCAAGATGATAGCACGTCCAAGTCTGCACGTCCGTGCCAAAAGCTGCACGTCCGTGCAGACCTTGGCAGAAGCTTCTGCCTCCATTTTGGCCCTCCTGCACGTCCGTGCCAAACTTGGCACGGCCGTGCTTAGCCTTGCACGTCCGTGCCAAATCTGGCACGTCCGTGCAGACCTGCAGTCGAACTCCTTCCTTGTTTTCTCCGTCCTTTTTATTTGGGGGTTATATAAATACCCCTTTAGAGCTCATTTGTACGGGGATGCAGTTTTTTTAGAGCTTTCCTCTTAGTTTGTAGTCTTAGAACATTAAATTCTCAAATCATTAGTTAGTTCTCAATTATTAGCTTGGAAACATTCAAATTCAATCATTGTAGAAGACAAATCCACCATTGTTGCTCACTTTGAAGCTTCATAGTAACCATTTCTTACTCATCTTTTCTACTTCTCTTCACTTTGTTGTTAGTTATTTGCTAGTTCTTGCATGTTTAGATTGTTAATTAGCTTAATCCTTAGTTTGAACTTGTTCATGAATTGCTTGAAATCTTTAATTGCTTTAACCTCCATGGATTGTGAGTAGTCTAAATTCTAGGGTTTGGGTAAACCCTCAATGTAGTCACTAATTACTTGTTGCATGTGTTAATTTGGTTGTTGTGGGATGTTAATTAGTTGAGCTTAAGTGGTTTCATTGTTAGTTCTTGTAAGTGGCCATTGCTAGAACTATTTATCTAAGCTTTCTCAACGAAGGATCGAGAGATGAACTTGAGTTAGCTCCCTTATGCTTGATTGACCCGAAATGCCATGAGAATAGGAATTTCCGATCAAGGGAATGTTTATGTCATCGTGATTATGCTTTAACACTTGTTTTATGCTTTGTAACCACGAGAGTAGGTTGTATTCATGATTCAAGTAATCCCTCTAGCTTGAGAGAGTAGTTGGGTGCTTTAGATGATTTCCCCTAATTTATCCCATCATTTTGCCTTGATTGTTGCATGCTAATTGTGATTTGTGATGAAGTTGAGTGGTATAACCCAAGCCCTAGATTCTTCTTAATATTGTTAATCTCCTCTTAGCTTTAGTTGAGTTGAATTAGAAGAAGTTACTCAAAACCAACCCAATTTAGAATTCATTTAGCTTATTTAAACGGTAGTACTCGGTGGTTGATTCAACGCCTCTCTTGGGTTCGACCCTTTCTTACCCTTACTATTGTTAGTGAGACCAAGATAGGAATCATTATCTTTGGTAGGCTCGACGACGGCCTATCACCTTTTTCCGTCTATGTTCTCCTTTCTTCCATCTCGTTTCTCCGTCTCCGTCCACCGGCACCACGCACGACGGTTTTTATGGTCAAATTTGACCACGAAACTCTAGATCTAGTTGTTTCATGATCGAATTTGGCCTTTTAAAACCAAATTCGAGGCCAAATTCAGGATTAATATATAAGGTGTTTTCGTTCTTCCTTTTTTTATTTTCTGTTTTTCTTTTTAATTTTTTTTCAAGTTGTGGGCAACAGAGGGGGCCGAGTTAGGGTGGGTGCGGCGGCGGTTAGACTGGGTTCGGGTGGGTGGGGAGGGAGGATTTTTCGAGGGAGGGAGGGAGTTTTATGGTGGGTGAGCAATTAGAGTGAGTTGTGGGGTTTCGAGGATGTTGGGTTTCATGGGGGTGGGTGGGGTGGGGTTACAGTGGGTTTGGGTTTTTTTTCGATTTTTTTGTATGGGGTGGGGTGGGGTGTGTTACGGTGACGGTGGTGGGTGTGGTTGGGGTTGGGTCTGTATTTTTTTTTTTTTTTTTTTTTTTTTTTTTTTTTTTTTTACAGTGACGGTGGTGGGTGGGGTGGGGTGGGGTTTGTTAAGGGGGTGGGGTGGGGTACGTGATGGTGGTAGGTGGGGTGGGGTATGGGTCTGGGTTTTTATTATTTACGGTGACGGTGGTGGATGGGGTGGGGTAAGGTTTGGGTCTGGGTTTTTTTATTTACGGTGGGTGGTGGGGTGGGGTGGGGTGGGTTACGGTAATTATGGTGGGTGCGGGGGTGGTGTTAGGGTGGGTCTGGGTTGACGTTGGTGGGGTGGGGGTGGGTTACGGTAACGGTGGTGGGGTGGGGGTGGGTTACGGTAACGGTGGTGGGTGGGGGGTAGTGTTAGGGTGGGTCTTCTGGGGTGACGGTGGGTTACGGTGGTGGGTGGGTGGAGGGTGGGTGGCCAAATTTTTTCATTTTTTTATTTAATTTATAACTCCTAATTTAGTTATACAAGAATATAATTTTAATTTTATAATAGCAAAAAAATTTACAAATTTAAATCAATAATTATATGTAAAAAAAATTGTACTGTTAAATTACATTAAACATCAAATATATTTCGTGGAATTCTAACAAATTGTTAAAGGCTGTAAATAGTTCAATTTGAATGGAACGGGTTGTAAACGGTTCGGTTTAAATAGTTTGTAATCGGATCGGTTTAAACGAGTTGCGGTTTGAAAATAGTTCGGTTTAATGGGTTATAACAGTTCGGTTTAAACGGTTAGCGGGTTGTAAATGGTTCAATTTAAACGGTTTTTTCCTACGGTTTAAACGGTTTCGGTTTATAAACGGTTTGGTTTAAACAGTTAGCGGGTTACATTAATCGGTTCAAACGGTTTCGGTTTATAAACGGTTTGGTTTGTTATTGGTTTACGGTTCGTAACGGGTTAACATTAATTGGTTCGGTTTCGGTTTGACATTATACGGTTCAGTTCGGTTTTCGGTTTAAAATTAGCGGGTTATAAACGGTTCGGTCCGTGATGGTTCGGTTCGGTAACGGACGGTTTCACGGTTCGATTTGAAAAGTCCCACCCCTAATAATATGGCATGCCGCATGAGTACCCACACAAATTGGGTACGCAATAAGGTTGTTTAGAAAATAGAGGATACAAATACGTCTAATTAAGTATGATATAATATATTCTTACGATAATTATTTTATGAAATCTTCAACCGTATTTGATAAATTTTACTTTATTTATTCTAAAAAATGAAGAAAATCATTCAAAAAGTCATCAAAATGAATAAATTTACAATAAAGTTTGTTAAAATAATATTATAACAAATAATAAAATTGTATCAATATCCCCGGCACCCATGGTATATGGGTACGTATTGTATGATATGGGTACGATGATCATTAGAAGTACAATGCATCAGTAGCTAAAATGCAACCTTCCAAAGCTAGCCATCAATTCATCATCATAGCATATATCAACTTGTCCTTTTTCATGGTAACAAAGTGATAAAATTGAAAATATAATGAAGATTGCAAACTACTTCGTATATATTACAAGTACATCTTTTCTCATTCTAATGGTAATAATATAGTTTCAATCGTTAATTTACAAGACAAATATAATTATGATGGACCATATATGTTAAATTTACTTTAATGTGATTATTAAAAAAATTATACAGTAAAAGATTTGTAGTTAGCATAAGTAATTAGAATGATTAATTAATAACTAGCTTTTAGGCCCGGTCGATGCTCCGAATTACTGCATTATTTTCATGATAAAAATCATTACTAATATAAAATTTTCTATAATTTTTTTATTAGATGACATGCAATATGGTAATAGCTTAGTGGCTAACACGCTAAAGTTTAAACTTGAGGTCGTGGGTTCAAATTTTGTAAGAACCATGATTTTTAATATATATAGTATAGATGTTCAAAAATGACAGTTAAATTAAGATGAGTTTTTTACATTTGCTATTTATAGCGAATGATTAAAGACAAAGTGAGTACATAAAAACAAAATAAATTTAACAATTGAAAACAAAGTAAGAAAATTACCTGAGTTGATTGATTAAGGAGATCTTGGGTGTTGACAGTCCATTTGCCCATATTACCAAAGGGGTCACCATTACCACTCCAAAGAGCCCAAGATTGAATTTCTTCATGAGATGGACCTTCATACTTAATACTAACAACCTTAGTATTAAATCTAACATGTTTAAGCAAATCAAAATGCTTAGCATACGATCTTAAGTAATCAATTACTTGATTTTTGTCAGGAAAAAGTGTTTCCAATGAAGAAGGCCAAGGGTAATCAGAGAATTGGAACAATGGTTTAGGAGTTTGAAGCTTAGTAGTCTCTACAGTTTGAGTCCAAACACCACCAACGGCGCTACGAGACTCGAAAACAATGGGGTGGTAGCCCTTAGAAAGGGCATACTTACATGCTAATAAACCACTAATGCCTGCTCCTACTATGCAAACTTTTCTTTCCATTGTTTTTGTGTAATACAAAGTATGTAATATGATAACTTTGTAACTAGGCTTATCTTAAATGAGCAAGTTCACAAATGAAACACCCTTTATTTTTCTTTATATATTGATTGATGCGTGGTGCTTAATAACTGTGACACCGCGAAAATGGGGTCCAATTATTAACCCTTTTCTTTGGGTAGTTTGATTAACAGAGGCTTGAACATCTAATATCGTATAGGCATGTGATTCTTTTTTTGTTTTTGGATTGATTCATTGATTGTTGGTTTTGGTATCTTGTACTGTCTTATACAGTAGTAAGCATGGCTAATTTAGTGTTTTCCGTAATAAAAACAAAAATCGATATAATAAACCTAAGCTTGATTTAATAGTCAAGGATACTTGCTGAAAGTATGATGAATAGTAGGAAAACATTTTTTGCATTGAAGTAGAAGTACGGAGTACAAATTAACAACAATATCAATATAATCTCCAAGAAAGAAAACAACATTTCTTGTATCAATTACAGAGTATTTGGAACAATATAACTAAGACTTTGCTCTTCTTAAGCTTAATTCTTCTTAGTTAACTTAACACGAAGTGCATTTCGGAATCCTAAAATGGGAGTCCGAACGATTTCTCCACCCTTGATCTTCTCCCATCTATTCATACAAAGCCCCCAAAAAATATCAGAAAATAAGTCCACCAAAAGTAGCTTCTTACATAAGGAGGAAAGATGATATTAAAGATAAAGTTACCTGTAATTAGTGACAAGGTTATGAAGAAAAATAGTCATTAAGACTTTAGCAAATTCTGCTCCTGCACATTGCCTTGTTCCTCCTCCGAATGGCATAAAGTTTTTTGCTATAACATCAGGCTGCATTTCCTGTTATTGATACATGATTACAAGAATAAACTCGATTAATTAAGGTTTGATCATCTTATAATAATTATGTACTTCGTCGAAGAAAGAAATTAGTAAATTTATAGGCAAGTAACCTTCCAGCGCCAAGGATTGAAGGTAAGTGGGTCTTTGTATATGTCAGAATTATATTGACATGCAGAAGTCACTAACATAATAGTCCATCCTGCTGGAATAGTATATCCTGCAAAGTAATTAATGTACAAGATGAGTTTATTGCACTAATTTGGAAGGTTTTACATATAGTTGATCATAAGTTTATAACCGGCCAGCACGAGTTGAGCTGCCACTTTATGATCCCCACGGCTTGACTCATGATCAACTCTAATTGTGAAGGAAGTAATGCAAATAAATAATATGAAATGCTAATATGTATACCGTTTATTTCGATATCTTTCAATGTTCTCCTGAGTATTCCAAGAGAAACATTTCCAAGTCTCAAAGATTCATTAATCACCTGCATCAGAAGTATCAGAAGTATATGATAAATTAAACATAACATTTTATAACACCCTTTATTTTATGGTCTTTTAAGAGGACTAATTATGCATATATATATAAGAGTATAGTATAATTTACTTGAAGAGTGAAAGTCATTGATTTCACTTCAGCCCAAGTCAGGGGAGAATCAGGGCTTTCTTTGTTCTTGATAATCCTCTCGTGCTCAGCCTGTTTAAGGGAAATTATTCGTAATTAGGAAAGCATAAGAAAAGAATTCGAACTCATAGATGACATCTGAATTAAACAAACCTCTAATTCTTTCAGGACATGAGGATTTTCTGACAATAATTTGAGGACTAAAGTTAATGTCATGGAGGTAGATTCAGAGCTAGCAAAGAGGAGTCCAAACATAATCTGTAGTATAAATTCCTCGGACAAGAACTTCTCGGTGCTGAGGTCTTTCAGAGCATGATCTAGGAAATCCCCTCGATATGACTCTGGTGTAGTGAGCCTATCCTTTAGAGCAGTCCTCATCATATCCATTACTTCTCTTTGGCTCTGATCAGATTATGTACATACAACATTTCAGAACGACAGTAAAAATGTCAGTTCAGTTACAATTAGGTGAAGAGAACATGGCCTAAGTAGCAAAATCGAGTGCTTGGGATACCTTTAAGCAGCTATGGTAAGTAGTGCCAGGAATGTTCAATGGTAAAGAGAAAAGGCCTTGTGAAATATTACCAAATTTCTCCCCTATTTTCTCCTTGCTCTTGTCAGAATCATACCCAAATAGTTGCTTTGCTACAAACTCTATAGTCATCTTCATTCACATAAAAGATAAACCAAAACAATTTATTTAGTCCCAAGTAAATCATATATGCTTATGTAAGTTAACACACAAGAGATCAAAAAAAAAGGGAAGAATTGTACAGTTAACGCGGATTCTTTGACATCAATGGTATCCTTAGACGACCATCCAAGTAGAGTGTTTCGAACCAAACTTTCAAGGTGAGGGAGCAAATTTACCCTAAGGCTTTCAGAGCCAAAATGGCTCAAAGTAAGGTTTCTAAGGTATTTATGCACTAGGCCAGCAGCAGTAGTCCTAGCTTCACCATCTTGTGCAAATAACTTAGAGAATGTGTCCAAGTACCACATTTCAACTGACTTCCCTTCTTGTTGCACAATGTACCGGTTGAAACCCGGATCAGCAGACATCACAACCGGCCTTCCAACAAGTCGCGTTTTGAATATAGGCCCATACCTTTGAATTCTGGTTCGAATGAACGAGGGAAGGTCTAGGGAGTAACTAGGGACAAGGAGTTGAAGGGTTTCTCCTATAAGAGGGAAGCCTTTAGACCCTGGAGGTAGAACAACTTGTTTTTCTCTTGAATTCCTCCTTTTTAATTCCAACAAAATAAAACATATTGCTACTATTGTTGCAACATATAAACCCATAGTTGGCCACATTTTTATTGTAACACCTTTCTTAAAAATTAAATGCTTGTATTAGCAGCTAGTAAATGTATGTAAGTAGTTTTTTTTGATGAATTATATGATCATAAAGAGAACCCCTTATATAGTTTTTAGAGATTTGAACAAGAACATGATCATTACCCAAGATAAATTAGAGAATATCTTGAAAGATTATTTGTAGCAAAATCGATTTATCGAAATCAAAATGACATATGAATATGAATCAGATTAAGATGATCAAATAAATCTTGGTTAATGTAAGAGCTATAGATTTTATGACATTATGTAATAAGATCAGATTTATTATGTGATCAAAGAATAAGTCAACATTGTGCTTGGATTGTCATGCCCAAATATATAGCAGAAAGGTGTCCAATTATAAAATATACAACACAAATTTTAATAAAATCAAATCAAATCAAGAAGTTGACGAAAGATTATTGACTTGGAGATTCTAATGTGCATATTCCCGTTCAAAAAAAAATGTGCATATTAGATATATTAAAATTTTGAGGTCATGAGAATTGTTTGCACAAATTTATCAAAAGGGTTGCTGTGGTGTAGTGGTTATCACGTTAGTCTTACACACTAGAAACAATATTTGTTGAATTTTTTTTAAGAAGGTAAGGTACTTTTAATATGAGAAGTGTCCTCTTTATTTCGCTTTTAGTAGTATGTAAATAGATTTATAACATACAACATCGAAATAATGCCTGGTTTGTTAAGGTTTACGATAACGGGTTGATAAAATATTATTTTGGAAGGTCGATTCTTCACATTTCAAGCCCAAAATATTGATAATATGATGACATTTAAATAATTCAACATAAGGTTCACAACCAATGTCATATCTATTGAGGAAAAAGAGTTCTAGCTTGACCCTTTAGTTTTTTGCAATTGATCTTTAAAATAAAGACTGAAAATCAAAATTTATTACTGAAGTAGTTTCAGTGTAATCGTAACAAAGATTTGGTATTAATGAATCCTCAATTCTAAGAGAACGCAAAACTTCAGTAGCTGATAAAGGAAAGTTAAAAAAAATTTCCCATACCCAAAAAAGTTTCAAAAAGGGAACTCTGCCAAGGAGAGAATTATCTCCCCGAAAAGAATCACTTGTTATGTTGCAAGGAAACGACCGAAACAATGTGCAGTATGGTAAGGAAATGTCAGTAGATCATCAATCCAGATTGGCTAAAACGGCATCAACAACTTGTTGAGTAGTACTATTACCACCAAGATCCTTGGTTCGGTACTTGCCCTCTTCGATTACATGCTGCACAGCAGTCTCTAATCGATCTGCAAACGAAGGGAACTGAAGGTGCCTCAACATCATGGCTGAAGAGAGAAGCAGAGCAACAGGATTTGCCTTCTTTTGCTCCACCAATTCCAGCTTCCCAACATTTCCAGCTGAAGCACCTTGCTCGAATACAGCATGCTCAGGACCGACATTACCTAAAGTTCATCCAGCTTATTAGATGCTCAATAATTATGACAGGCTTCTAAATCAATGAGTATGCTTTGATCTAAGATCAATAATTCCACTCATATAAATTACACTACAGTAACTATGCTAAATGTTCAAAGTTACAACATCCAAATGATAGTTAGATACCCAAAGTGGGATATGATCATATTCAGCTGCCATAACATAAGCCTTGCCCTCTATTATACTGATTTTTGCCAATTAAAACTGGTTTTTACAATTTCTTTTTTTTTTTTTGGGCTGATCCATTAATGTTTTATCATGAGCAATTAGCTTCACTCAGTATTTAAGATTCAAACTGAATTTTAGTGATTTTTTTTTTTTTTTTTTTTTTTTTTGAGAAGTTAAATAAAACAGGACCAAAAGCATGGCACAGGCCAATATAAAATTAAGAGTTCTTATGACATGCACATTTAATGAACAAAAGGAAACTGAAAAAGAGTGAGGTCGCAAAGGTTAAAGGACAATACCTCCCGGCATGACCCCAGTTCCTCCAGCAATACCAGCAGCAACATTAGACACAAGATTACCATATAAGTTTGGTGTAACCTGTCAAATGTAAAACACAACAGACCTCATCAGAAAACGTATTATCAGATTGCCGCTCTATTTTTCACAAAAGCATACGAGAATATGACTATATGAGTAGTCACTGTATGTTACATGATATTAAAGGAAATAGTCACGAGGAAGAGGAGAAATAGGAATATAGGATAAATACCATCACATCAAATTGCTCAGGCTTCGACACAAGCTGCATGCAGCAGTTGTCTACAATAATCTCATTGTACTCAATGGTAGGGTACTGTGCTGCAATCTCCCGGCAAGATTCTAAGAAAAGCCCGTCTGCAAGTTTCATGATGTTGGCTTTATGCACAGCAGTCACTTTCTTTCTGTTGTTCAAGTAAGCATATTCAAATGCATATTTTGCAATGCGTTCAGAGCAGAACTTTGTTATCACCTAGTAAAATAGAATTAGCTTTAATCTTTTAGACAACAAGATATAGGCAACAACTATATGTCAAACTCTTATACAGAGATTTTCCAAACAGACTTAAAATTCAATCTTCTAGACAATAGAGAGGGGAAAAAAAAAAGTCAACTATCAGCAACACAATAACTAGCATAATGTCAATTGCAAAAGAAATGACTTCTTTTTTTTTTCCCTGACAAATGACTTCACATTGCAAATATGAGATAGAAGTATAGAACTGCAGACATTTAGAAGCACATACAAAGATAGCAAGACATAATTAAAAAGAGGCCAACATTAACCAAATTAATAAAGAGCTCTAGAAGAATAGTTTGATATGCAGATAGAAGACACCCAGCATTCATGCATGTTCCTTTGTGTTTTTCTTTTAAGTTTCACTTTAAGGCCTTTTCAACTCTTTCAACAACTGTATTGTAAGGCTACAGAGAGACAATCAATGGCCCAAAATTTGAAAAAAGAATTCCACAAATACCAATCTTTCCCACACCACATCAACCAACTCTAAACTTGAGCACAACAAACTCAAGAGCACACCTCAAGCTCCAAAGTCTCCCTTGGAACTATCCTCTCTCTTCGCTAGACGTTACTAGAATCCACATCCAAAAGACCCAACCAAGCCCCAGATATACCCAAAATACGCATTACTACCCCCATGACCAAGCGAAGAAAATATGTAGACTGGTATTGTAGACCACCCTTACCAGTTATAAGTACATTGCTCCTTAGCTACCACAATGGTCACATAAACGGCCTCATACTCCAGACTTAGATAGATAAATACATTCATTCAGTTAAAGCTTTTGGCTTTAGCCTTTAGGTCATTAGAAACCAGCCAGAAATCTCCTGAAGTGTAATGTTACTTCCTACTCCATTACAATAATCATTACATCCAACATATATACAAACCTTAGGAAACATCAAGGCAAAACTAACCAACAGTAGCATACTCATTGTATTGTCAGTAATGGGTCGAATAGGAGCTATACTGTACTCGTAACCTAATGAATGGCTCAAGTAATGACATTGTAGAAGTATTGAGGTAAGCTTGAGGCTAGTATAGCTCCAATGATGGAACAGAACAAGGAGAGATTTGGAAAGAATACCAGAAGAAAACCACATTAACCGCTCTGGTGCTCCCCTTATTTAATAGTCAACACCTATTAGATTTCAAGTGCTTTCAGTTGGACAGTTCCTTTCAAAAAGAAACACGGTATGAATTGGGGGCAGGGGGGTTTCTATGGTTGATGACATTTGTTAAAACTTCTACAATACATACTAGCTAACTTACACTGACAACACAAGATGGTTATCGTTGCACCGTGCTAGTTGGTTTACCAACAAAACAGAAACTAGTTTCAGAAGTTCAGAACCTCAAAGCCGCAATAGGACATAAAAATGTTACATACTAAAGAAAACAAAAGAATTTCAGTCTAACTTTTCAATATCCCTAAATAAGGAGTAATAAATAGAATATGATCCTTCTTCCTCCTAATAGACATATTAGCATCTATATATCTATAGCATACCTTCAAAAATGGCAAAAAGTCAGACCATAAGTCACTGATGGGCATAAATATCATTTCCAAGATACCATTAGTCACTACAGAAACCAACATATCTATTTTCAGAAACCGAATTCCAGTCTCTGCACACCTCGAATCAGGCACATAACCATCATGTCATTCTCCAAAATTCACAGGGGAAAATCAAAAGTCTTGCTCACCAACTCATCCTTCTTTCTTAATATTATCATATTATCCCAATGACTTTATGCATATACAGAAGCTAAGCTAAACTCTTAGCCTCCTTTCCCACCCCCACTTTTCCCACTAAAGGCATTACTCGAGCCAAGTGGCACTTGTATAACAGTATTGGTAAAATTAATGGTATGATGAATCCAGTATAATCAATCCTCTACAATAGATTTAACCTCAGCATCCACGTTCATAAATCTCCCTCAATGACCTTATCTATAATTATTAATTAACAAACTTAAGAGACACTAATAATAAACACAACAACTTTATTAATTGCCGGTACCATATATGAACTGTAATAATGAAAATGAGATATATAAAAGGACATCTTTACAAAGACAATGTGCTTCACTAATTAATGTGTTAGCTAGCGGCGAGCAAGAGTATTACTTACTAATAATGCATAAAGCATAACAATTATAAATCCTCAATCTATGTACAAGTACAAACCATTATAATACACTAATCATAAATAATACAGTGATGCATTAAGCATAATAATTATAAATCCTGTACAAGTACAAATCATTAAAATACACTTATCATAAAATTGTGCATAAAGCATATTAATCTGACAAACTAACAATAATTCCACACATTAAAATAATAATTAGAACAGTAATTAAACAAAAAAAAAATCCATGAAATAAAAAATAATTTTTTAATACCTTGAGACTCTCAACAACACCAGGAACAACCTCATGCTCTAACCCAGCATACTCCCCTTCAGAATTCTCTCTAATAACAACAATATCAACATTATCATGTCTAGTTTGAATACCTTTGACATTAAAACAATGAACCAATGAAGCGTAAAGATCAAGCTCCTTCCTCAAATGAACATTCAACGAACTAACCCCACCACCGACAGGTGTCATCAACCCACCTTTAATGCAAACCTTATTTTCTCGAATTGATTCAAGAACACCTTCTGGAATCTTCTTCATATCACCATGAACATCGTACTTCTCGAACACGATTGGCGCGTGCATTGCATCCATTACTTGTTCGACTGCACCCGTAACTAAAGGTCCGATTCCGTCGCCCGGAATTAGGGTCACTTTTCGGGTTGAACCGTCGCCGGGTCGGGGCATGTAGGTTACGGATCGGGTACTGCATCGGGTTATGGAGGGTATGAATTTTTTTAGGATTTGGAGGGATTGTCTTCGAGACATTTTTCTGGGTTTGAGTTTTGTTTGATTGAATTTTAATGGAGTTTTTGTTGGAGAATTAGAGAGAGAAATGAGAACATGTGTGAAGAGCTGGAAAAGGGAGAGAGAAAGAGGTCACAGAATTTTATTTATTCTATAGTCGTAGATTCAAATGAAATGAGGGCTCTTCATGTTAATCAAGGGTTGGGTCTTACCAAACCCGGCCCAGCCCAATTGAATTTTTTTTTTTTTTTTTTTTTTTTTTTTTTTTTGTGAATGTCAAAAGAGCTGACAATGTTTAACTTGACTCAATTAAAAATTTGATTGGTAAAATTGAATTCTTTGGGTTGAGAACTATAAGATTATTTGTTGATGAAATAAGAGTTGGCAAAACTTTGGATTTAATATTTTGCGTCATTTTTATTTAAAGGTTTATGTTTTATTTTGTTTGAAGGAAAATGTGTGTAACAAAGTAAAGGGACAAAGGTTTGTGTTTAATTTTGTTCAAAGGAAAAATCGTGTAACAAAGTAAAGGGAGGGCCGAAGGAGGAGAAGGTTTTCTAGCATTCAGGGTAAATTTGGGTGCCATAAAAATTTCATAGTTGTCTCTAAAATAAAAATTCTTGTAATTTGAAAAATATAAAATTAAACAAATCAGCATTTATTCTCAAATTCTTTTATGTAATCAATAAAGGCAAAAGCTAATGAACGTCCTCAGGGCGTTAGATAAGAGAATTAAAAGTGGAAATATTAGAGTAAAACTAACATTAATTACACCGAATGACGCGTGATTTTATAATGCATTCCTAACTTAATACTATTTTAACCAATATAATTATTCCTTATCTAACGCCCCGGGGCGCTCGTTAGCAAGATCCATCAATAATTTTTTTTTATTTTTTAAGTAATTTATTACATCATTTGATACATCTATGACTTGTAAAATTGTAATCAACCTCTTGTAGAGTGGCTAACGACACTTCGAACAATTAGCCACTGTGGAGAGTGAACAGAAAAAGGATGCAAGGGATTGTATTTGTCAAATGAACCAAACACATAAGGGAGCTCATGGGGTCTTGGTTCCTTTCCCGCCCCCACTACGAAGTCTCCTGATTCAGCAGTTCTTTTACATAGACTCGAACCAAACAGCCCCTACATTTGACTGTTGCTTTGATGCAATACCAGCTTAGTTGTGCATTCCCTCTTCCTCTTAAAATGATCATAGACAACTGAAGAATCTGTGAATAAGGCCTCATCTTCCAAAATATACTGTTATGTTGGCATACTCCAACGCCAGAAAACATACTACTGCGAAGAAATAATAAGCAGATTGTAGCTCTGCATATCTACCTGTTACAACCTAGAAGCAGTAGTATATGATTCTCCAACAGACACTCCATTTTGGAAACCGCCTTAATCTTCAGAGCTTATTAGATAGGATAGATGCCTGACTACATTCACCAACAGGTAAAGAGCATAACCTTGATCAACAGTAGTAACATGCTTGCAATTTTGCAAGCGCATACATTTAAATAAGCAGCAGCATTATAACAGAACATACAGAGATGAGAGACCTCTGCTTCTGCAGAAATTCAAACTACTATATACCTATATGAAAAGGCATTACCTTTCAATTAAGCCTAAAACTCACAAGTCACAAGGCATTAGCTTTCAATTAAGCCTCAAACTCACATTTTCCTGCTAATTTGTTTCTGCTGCAACACTCAAATTATTGACAGCAAAAATGATGGATACTAACCTAAGGTAAAACCTTCAACAATTATCATAGAACTCTAAAATCTGAATAGAAGCAGCCACCAAAATTACAGCCAAAAGGGGTCCAAAGTCATATAAGAAGCCTCTACCAAGTAATTTGCTCGTATTGACGTACATTCAGACATACAACAATCTAACTAGCACGCGCCAACGCGCGCGAAAAACTCCCTAGTCTAATAAGAAGAATAACAGACGCAACATTACTGGCCAACAGCAAGACCACGAAAACACTCTTTTCTAGATGTACACACAAAAACATCACAACAAAGGTTGCAAGTATGCAGCTGTAACACCATATAACATGAAAACAAAAACATGCAAAATATCCCAACAAAGCTTCGTAGAGTTGCAAATATTAACAAGCTCAAAAAAAAAAAAAAAGGAAAAAAAAAAAACATTCACCTTTAAAGCTAGAAGTCATTTACTGAAGATTACTAGAATCAAGACGAATTCCAAATGTAAAGAATACATGAATATTATGAAAAGAAGCTAGAAGAAAAAATAATGACATGTTCAGCACACATATACATCAGAAGAGATTAATTATGAAGAGTATTCAGGAGCAAAAATCTACTCACTTTTGCAAACTATTTTCGATACATCTTCAACATATCACTGTATTCAATTATGACTGATGCTTCAAAAATCCAAATTATTCTAGCTTAGTTTGACTTCCCTGCACAAAGGATGGGAATAGATGCCAACCAAGTCCGCCAATTTTCAGAAGAGCAAATGAACTCCTCACACTTATCAATGAGCTGAAGGAGCAGGATTAGCTCCCAATCCCATCTTCTTTCCCAATAAGGCAAGTTGATCAACAAACTCTGCCCCAGTAAGAATTTCTGTTGTTCCATATATAATATGCTTGGCTGGCTGCTGACGGGACACAAGCTCTTGTAGGCTTGCATGTTCCACGTAATTCCCTCCCCCAATCATAAACACAATAGCCTCCTTAAATGGTCCTCTGAGATGGCTACCAGAACTAGACTTAGGAGCTCGAGGATCAAACATCACATAGGAGTCGACCTCTGGGTTAGGTCTCCCTTCCATCAAAGCTTCCACTATCCTTGCCAATGCCAGCTGCCGATCACCAGACAAAAGATTCTTCATACCGGCAGCCAAAAGATTTCCAGCCCAGTCTACTATGTTACCTCTGCTTGCAGCACTAGCAGAAGTCAATGGAACATTCAATGACTTTATCTTTTTTATGTACTGAAATGCACTAGTATCAACCTCAGCTTCTTTGAGTGCCGTTTCCACCATTTCTGCTTCAGATTGTGGAACAGTCTCCAAAGAAATAAGGTACATGATGGCAAAACGGAGCTTATCCATCTTGGAACCCTTCCCTTTAAACACACCCATCAATTCATTCATATCAATACTACCCCTAACCATCATATCATACTCCTTTTTGGCATAAGAATCGAGCGACCTTTCCTTAATCTCACCCAACAACACGGTTGCAATATTAGTGTGCTTATCAATCACTTGCTTCCTCTCTGTCAACTCAGGCAGCGAGTTAACTGCACTCATCAAATGCTTTGTGTTCCCAATCAAATCCGTCCCATCAAACTCCGCCCCACTAGTGCCACCAGTCCTCCTATTCACATCATCCACATCCTTCTTATACTTGGTCAACTGATTCTCAATCTCAACTGCCACCTCCGGAAACTCCAACCCCCCGTTTGCCACCCAGAACGGATCCAACCCATCCAGCTCAAACGACTTAGTCCCCCCCTTCTCTCCTTGCACACTCACCCTATTAAGCCTCAATCCAAGCACATCATGAACAAGCGGCTTATACCTAAAATCATGCTGAATCCCCATAGCCAACTCGAAATTCCTATCAAACAAACACAAAACCGGCCTCTGAAACGACGAGGCAAAATTTCCACCTTCACTAAACAAATTATTCTTAGCCAACAAATGGTCCCTAAGCCTCTGATCTAAGGCAGACGCCACCATTTCGGCAGCCCCGCCTTGCGGACACCGAATAATCGGCACCACAGACAATGTGGCCAAAACACAGAACAACCCATCAACAACTTTCTCAATAATCTCCTCAATTTCTCTTTGTTCAGCTTTAGGATCATTCAATTGCACATAACAATTACTATAAGCAAGCGAAAACAAGTTATCCTCTAAAGTAACAAAATCCAAATATTGATCATGTACCTTAGAAACCCTAGAAACGGCGTCGTTTGATTTCAGAAGCCCAGAAGCTAGATCCTCCAACAAAGGACGAGGAATCGAAGACGAGAAGTTGAGATGAAACGTGTCGTATAGAGGTACAGCAGCATCCGAAACGACGCGTTGAATGTTTCCCGGAGCTGGGCGGATGAAGTAAACGGCGGGAACATCGGGAATAGGTTTCCGAGGTTTGTCGATGAGGAAGAAGAGAGTGACGCCATGCTTACGTAGGTCTTTGACATGGATTAGAGGAGAGAGAATATCTTGAGAAGATTTGTCGTAGATCAAGATCTTGTAAACTTCTTCGTTTGCCATTCCTGTTGATGAATTCACTGGTTGATTCAGATTCAACATTCTGATTATACATTCTGCAAAATAAACACAAAATTCGATTAAGATTTGAAGATGGTTAGTAGAAATTAGATTGAATTGAAATGAAATTAAAGTTAGAATTGAGCTATTAGGGTTTTGATTTGTAAGAAGGGGGATTTATATACCTGTTTGTTTCTGGCGAAGATTGAGAGACATTGTTGCGATTTGGGGAAATGGAGGTTTGAAGGTTGCAGAAATGGCGTATTAAGATGAAGAAGTGTGTTTGGTTGGTTGATGAGATTAGAGAGGTAAGAGGATTTTATTTCAGATCCTACACAGAAATGTCACCGCCAAAACTCAAGTGATCCTTATACAGTTATACCACTCCAAAACTTGCAAGGCGTTTGATTTAACCATGGAAATGAATTTTGATTTTCTAGTTAAAAGAATCTTCTAACATTACCTCTTGATAATTACAAATAGATATAAATAGGGGTGTACACCGGACCGGACCTGGACCGGACCTGTTTGGACCGGGGACCTGAATTGGGTAATTATGAGGACCGGGGACCGGACCTGAATTAACAGGTCCGGTTCCGGGCCAGACCTGAAAAATCAGGTCCGGTCCGGGTTTGGACCTGAATGGACCTGTTTTGTGTCTTTTTCGTTTTTTTTTTTTTAATACAAAACCTGTTGGACCTGCATATGGACCTGCATATGGACCTGTTTTGTGATTTTTAGACCTGTTGCATAATTTAATAATTACATACAAACCAAAATTATCAATTACAAAACTACATAAAGTCTATAAAGTCCCGATTCTCAAACACCAAAAATACAAATGAGTCCACCGAAAATACAAATAAGTCCACGAAAACTCATAAAATTACATAAATTCTCTTAAGTCTCAACTCTCAAGTACTAGGAATACATAAATTCTCCAACGAGTTGTTTTCCCTTTGATCGCGTGATTCACACTAATGAGTCCACGAAAACAACTTCATCGTCTACATCGTTAGATTCACCACGTTGCACCTCTAAATAAAATACAATATAGAATATATTAATGATTGATAACAATGAAATAATAAATTTGGTGTAACAAAATTTCAAATACATAAAATTATTACTACCTTTCTCTATTTCCTCTAACTCTTTCAAATTTTCTTCCACATCAACAATTGGCACTTCCTTAGCTCTAAGCCAATCTTGTGTGCAAAGTAACGCTTGAACCATCTTCAATACAAAAATATTACACAAATATGTATAAACAAAGTCATATTAAGATATAAACAAACTTGATTTTATAAAATAAAAAGATAACGATGCATTACCTTAGGAGTTAAAGAACTCCGAAATGGATCTAGAGTACGACCTCCCGTACAAGCAACATCATTTGAAGAAGCATTATCAACAGTGACAGTAAAAAGTTTATCATCAATACCCCAATACTCTAAACATGCCTCAACTGCTTTTCCAATAGCCTCTCCTTTATGACTAGAAATTGGACAAAAATTTATGATCTTTTTATTCAATTTCCAGTCATTATCAATGAAATGAGCTGTAAGACACATATAATTAATTCTTTGTATTGAAGTCCAAGTATCAGTGGTCACAGAAATTCTTTGACATGTCTTAAACATTTCTCTCAATTTCTCTTTTTCACTATAATACAACTTTAAACAATCATGAGCAATGGTAACACGAGATGGAATGTGAAATTGTGGACATGCAACTTGCACAAAGTGCCTAAAACCGGGTTTTTCCACATGCTTAAATGGTAACTCATCAACAATAATCATGTGAATCAATGCCTCTCTAACATCATTCAAGTTAATAATCCTACTCCCACACTTTAATTCACTACTCTCATGTTCTTGATCAAAATACAATTTAGTTTGCTTTTCTTTGCCCTTTTCTTTTTCTATATTAATAGGATTACCGAGACATGATTCTGCATGGTTTTTAACATTTTTTGAACCATTAAGATTACCATCAGCAGCAAAAGTTTTAGGACAAAACTTACATTCAGCTCGTAGTTTTCCATTCTCGACGTACTCTAAGTAATATTTCCAATACTCAGCTTTCCTCTTACTTTTTCTGTTCCATATATATTCCCGCCCCGCTTTTAGCTTCTTATCAGGAGGCAAAGTAGATTGCAATTCTTCCATATCCTTTTCAGAAAGTGGCTGTGACGTTTGTTCAGAAAAAGAAGCAGACCGTTTGGATTGAGAGCTCTCCATCTACAATATAATTATATACAATATAAGTAATTTTAAAGTAACAATTATATACACTAATACACATACCATTTTATAAAAAAAATTTAAGAGCAACTTACATTGCAAGAATAAGAATCCGTGGTTCCTTGACTTCCTTCACTCCCTGCAAGAATAAAAACAAAAATAAGAACCCCTGAACTACACACAGGTTAGCCAACTTATTTAATCTTAATAATCTAAGTCCATACTTTTAGCAGCCTAGCAGGAATAAACACAAATTTTAAAGTATAAGTTAGCTTAAAAAGTGTCCATATATACACATTAGAAATATCAATACACATTAGAAATACTTTCAACTTTCTGAAATTTATGTTAAGAAAAAAATGAGAGAGGCATTGCCCACACAACACAACACAACACAACACAACCAACTTTCTGAAATTTATGTCAATACCCAGATCCACCACTGCCCACACAACACAACACAACCAGCTTCATTGGCAGCCCCACCCCTAGCCGCCTTCCCTGACACTCCAACCATGGAATCCACCCCACAAATTCCATTCCCGCCGGAATAACCTCACTCAACCACTCCAAAACCCCCTCCAATCCAAAACACCACCCAGCCACCCCGAAAACCCATCTCCACTCTCGGTGACCCTACCAGCCACCACGAAAACCCCATCTCCACTCCCGACAACCCCATCAACATTCACAATTTTCCATCCAGCCATCCCAAAAACCCCAGCTCACCACCCCAACCCACCCCACCCCACCCCACTGCCACCCCTTAACCCTTAACCCCCACACACCAGAACCGTACCACCGTAACCCCACCATAACCCCACCCCAACCCACCCTACCACACAAATTTTCGCACTAAATTAATCTTAATAATCATAATAAACACAAAATTTCGAACTAAATTTCGCACTTGAACCCTAAACCCTAAACTTCTTAATTCTTATGAACCCTAAACTCAAAAAAACCAAAAAAAAAAACAGAAATTCGAAAGAGATGAACTAAAAATAAGAAATTCAACATGCAAACATCAAACAATCATTAAAAGCAATTGAAAATTTGAAACAAGAATAAACATATAAATTCTCACACTTAATTTATTATTTCGAATTAAAAATACCAAAATTATAAGCAAATACTTACCAGATATTATCGGTGTGCATCGCCTGAGAGAATGAGGGAGGTGTCGGCAGTGGGCGGTGGCCGGAGCGAGTTGGGACAGCCGGACAGCCGCGTTGAGAAGTTGAGATTGAGGGAGGCTGAGAGTTTGGGCTTAGGGAGTTAGGGTTAGAACTTAAAAATATGAAAGAGATTGAGGGAGGCTGAGAGAATCAGATATTTTCTTGTTTTTTTTTTTTTTTTTTTTTTTTTTTTTTTAATTACGATTTCCCGGGTTTCAGGTCCGGACCTGAAAACCCCGGGTTTGGACCGGGTCCGGACCGGGACCGGGAACCTGGATTTTTAAGAACCGGGACCGAACCTGAATCAACAGGTCCGGGTCAGGTCCGGTCCGGTTCAGGTCGGTTTAGGTCCGGTTTCAGGTCCGGGCCAATTTTTGTACACCCCTAGATATAAACCATTACTTCTTGATTTATAAATCATGATTTTACTATAACATTTTTTTTAACAAAATGTTTTTACTAAAACATAATTACTTTATCGCTTGGAGTTTTCATTGGGATAAATTCTTAAAGTATCTCTAAATTATGCGGAGTACTAATGAATTTAATTTATTTTTTAGTCCAAAATAGATGTATAACTTGTTTGATTCGATCATTTCAAAATAATAAACCACTTTATTTTGATATGAATTACTAATTTATTACTTAGTTTTAAAGGAAATTACTCTAAGTCTCACTAAAATGATTATGTTTTATTGCAAGGTCGTCTTAAACCTTTTGGGGGGCCTGTGCGGCTGTGCTATTAAAGAAAATATGAAGTCATTATCCTACATTTTCATCTCAAATAGTTTGCATTTCTTTAGTCATAATCAAATTCTCCGTATTAGTTAAGAAAGTAATAATTATCCATCTATTAAAACACAAAATTATATTAAAAAAAAGTTATGTGCAAGATTAGGCAATAGCCACAATAGCATATACTCCCTCCCATAAGCACGATGTTCAAAATATACCTTTGATCATCAATATCTTTGATAAGGGTTAAAAAAAAATTATAAAAATTGATATTATAAAACTACATGTTGAGACAAACTTAACAATATACCTCACATGACTATATTTTTTTTGTATATATTATAAGAATTTTCGGTCAAATTATATTAAAATTTTACCAATAGAATAAAAGTAGACAAAATATTATGAGACGGGTGGAGTATTAATGATATGAATAATAAGGTGAAAACTATAGAAAGTACTTTGTATAAATTAAAATATCATATAGTATATCTAAAGAAATTGGAATTTCAATGGTATTATTTTGTAGAAGAAACTACTGTATTTAAAAACTATTATAAGACAAAAAAAAGGTATTCTAAATGAGTTGATAGATTGATTATAAAAAAGAGTTGGGGAAAATAAATAATAAAGCCGAAAAACTCACGAAGGGGTGCGAAGAGAGTCGAACCCACACTAGCAAAGCATTATTTCCTTTGAGGTGTAAAACTGACCAACTCCGACAATTACGACTGTAATATTATAACCTCAGTGAATAAGTTTTATAAACTATTAATCAAATTTTCCAGATTTTGGGGCCCAAACAATATGAGGCCCACACAGCCCAACAGCCGGCCCTGTTTTATTGTATAGTGTTACATTGTTACTCATTTATTCAAATATAACTCCCCTTCAACCTGTTGTTTTTTTAATACCAAATTGAGTATGAGTATGAAAATGTTAACATTGAATATCTAATAAATGTGGAAAAATAAATAAATCGATTGTTGTAATCGAATTAGTTGATTGAGTATGAGTATGAAAATGTTAACATTGAATATCTAATAAATGTGGAAAAATAAATAAATCGATTGTTGTAATCGAATTAGTTGATTTTGAAAAACTCAATTTAATTATTTGAAGATCAAGGATTTCACTTATTTGTTTCAGCCTGAAACTCATTGAACTTGTAAACCTATAGACTCAAATATATTACAAACTAGCATAGTGCCCGTGTGATGCACAATTTATAAATTAAATTATTAATTATTAGTCCCGTAGGAAAAAAAAAACAAATGATA